GATGCATCACAATAAACGTCAGCTGAATTTCGCCTGTGACTAGACCTTCTTCCAGCTTGGTTGACGTTCAACGAACGTCTGCCTGCATCGCACGTTGTCACATTCTGTATTAAGGACGTAAAATGTTAACTGAAGTTATGTGCTGTTCTCTTATTAACATCATCCATTAATCTTCAGCTAGCGCGAAGTGAAGGAGATGCTAACACGCATTGAATGACCTGTTTTCAGGTACAGTGTTTCAGCTTTACCACGCTATGGGTGCCGCCTGTATTTTTACATACGGGACATAGGTCCATCTTGTCAATTGTCAATTTGTCTCCTATTCCTTTCTATACGTGTAGCAGATGGATGCTCTTCCGTCTCGTCGGTGATGTATGCAGACACCTGGACGCTTTATCTACTCTTAACGGAAGACATCGACGCCTTGGTGCCTGAATGCTGATCCTAAATACGTTTCAGGCTGTTTAACGCTGCACTCAGCAATATTCTAGCTATATGACGGCGGTCTGTAAATAATTGAGTCTGGACCAGACAAAGCAGTGATTGACTTCATGAGCATCGATCCACTTAATTGGGATACGATGACACGCATCAACCAAGTCAGCGAGCCTGACCTCCAGTTCCTATTAGTTGCCTCTTACGACAAGCATAGTCGCCTTCCTAAATACGTCATAATGGAATTCTCATTCTGCGCATGACACCATTATAAACTAACTGTCATTTAAGACGTGTAGAAAATTTGATAAATCGTCGTTTTGAATAAGAGCTCGATGACTACAAGAGAACTTAAAGTGAACGCTGTCGGTGGCTTAGATGTTGCTCATCTGATGTTGATGTTAATATATTCATCCATCCAAATGTAAATCGTTTGTCGATACAGCATAAAATAGGGATTTAACGCTAATCGTTAAAACAATAGATTTCCCCATTACCGCATATACAAGTATAATTACAACATTGCGTCAGTAAAAAGGTATAATATTTTCTGTTAAGGAGAACATACGACTAACTGAATGGTTTGTGAATAAACTTGTGAAGAAAACGCAGCGTTTAGGAATATTCCAGCAATTTAAAGGCGTGGTACACCAGAAATGAGCTTTACACATTGTTGCCATGTGAGGAATTATTCAAAAAAGGTCCAGGATAGAGAATCTTATTCATGGACCGTAAGTTACCTGTATGTTCTCCAGCTTTAAACACAGCCTACTTTCGCAAACATAGGATACATCCCTACCTTGACACTTTGATAAAAAGTTTTTGTTTGTGGGAACTGTTTCAAAAATTGAACCAGGACTCTTTGATGTTTTGCTGCACGAGATATGTGTTCGCGACTATGGTGCACGTGCGACAAGCACCGCCGCCAGGTGATCGTTATTTCTGAGGTTCTTTTCAATTCCATCCTAAATATTTCATGAATCGCCTCTCTGTTTGTAACACATGCTGACGGGGATATGTATGAAAAATAGATCCCCGAACAGTCACATATATGCCTATCGTATTACTTTGCTTTAACCGCCGTTAGAGGTAAGCTAACATGATGCAATAAAACATAATAGAATTCTAAGCTTTTACGGATTATTTAAATGTCTGAAAACATTTAAAAGGAAATTTCACGCCGACCTGTCCTATGTCCATGATAACCCTACATCCACGCCACAAATGACCTATCTCTTTGTGAAGCAGGATCCAATCCAGGTACACTTGTCAAATGTTACCATTCGTACTGTGGTTGTTCCACCTAGAGCTGTACTCTGTGAAATTCAACCAGTATCTGTAGAAGAGTTCAAGCTTAATCAGTCATCCAATACGGAGTCTATTTTGAGCCTTATTGATGTCAATGATAAAAAACTTACCCCGGAAGATTTGGATAAAGGTGTTAAACTTATCTCAAAGTACATTGATGTCTTTTCAAGTGGGGAATTAGATCTTAGTCATTCAACTGCAGTGCAACACCGTATTGAGTAATGGATACAACTCTTTTTAAACAAAGGTATCGACGTATTCCCCCAGCCATGTTTCAAGGGGTGAAAAATCATCTTAGACAGTTGCTAGCATGTGGAGTGAAACGTAGATCACATAGCCCTTGGGCCTCTAACATTGACCTTTGTTGGAAGAAGAGTGAAAAACTGAATGGTCGTGGACTTCAGACATCTAAACAATTCCACTATTAAGGACAGATTTGCTTTACCAAGGATAGAGGAAATTTTAGATGTCTAGCTGGCAGTAAGTTTTACACTAAGTTGGACAAGAAGTCTGGATATCACCAAGTCGAACTTGCAGAAGAACGTAAGGAGCGCGCGACGTTTGTCAGTTGGCTCAGTGCACATATACAAGATGGTTCAGTTTGAATTGTTTGAGTGGAGACCATGAGTGATGGTGAATGCATTGTTACAATGTTATATGATGGGGTTTGTGAATTAAATGGCAATCTATGGTCATCGAGCGTGACTCACCACGTATAATTACATGCCTCAATTCCACAAATAGGTAAGGCTTATTATCATGTACAAATATGTTTTATCTTTATGTACACTTTTTGTGTAGCCTTTGAGGGTTACGACATATTTATCTAAATGTACTTGTGGAATGATGTCTATAATATATATATATCAGTGACTCAAATTAAAAACTTCACATTTTTAAAAATAATCCCATATATGATATACAACGGTCAAATGTATCAGAGAAGGTAATTTTTAATCATTAATGTCCAAAGAGGGATATTAATTAACGGTGGTAACCATAATTTGTTCCAAGCACCTAGGGTATTCGGTAATAACATCAACAGTTTAAATCATATGTCCCAAGCACACAAGTTCAGTAGCGTGTATGGCCACCATGTGCGTTGACAACTGCCACGCAACGCCTCCGCATGGACCTTGTGATGCTTGTGAACACATGATTGGGAAGACGACGCCATTGTTGCTGCAAAATGGTGCCAGGATCATGCAAATTCTGTGGTTGGTTCTAGATAGTGCGCAGACTTCTGCCAAGAGCATCCCAGACGTGTTCAGTGGGATTGAGGTCGGGAGGAAGAAAATTCCTTGTCTGACATTGTCGTGTGGGAAGATCAAACCGGGTCCATGTGCTGCCATAAAAGGCAGAAGTTCTGGTGCAAGTACCTGGTCGCGGTAAGCAGCAGCGTTGAGGTTGCCACGGATGACAAGAAGCCTGGAACGTGAATTGCCACAGAAAGCACCCCACACCATGACACTTCCGCCTCGAAATCTGTCAACTTCCTGTACGCAACACTGGGCGTAACGTTCATGACGGCGCCTCCACACCCTCGCCCTACCATCAGCAAATCGAAGATTAAATCGGGATTCATCACTGAAAACGACTTGATTCCAATTCCTCTGAGTCCATCGTAAGTGTCGCTGTGCCAACAATTGACGTTGACGTCTGTGTAATTGAGTCAGAATCGGACCTGGGTTCAAGATACCGTGGGCATGACTAATTGACAACAAACCGTCCATTCGTGAAAGATATACCGTCGTCATTTACCTGAAAATGTGTTCACTGCGACATCACACGGGACACAAAAGACATGTACATGGACAACTGCTCAAGGCAGCAATGTAGTTAATTATTTCTATTACATCTGAGCCGGCACACATGACAAAAGAATCCACCATATTATGGATTCGGAAACTTTGACGCCGCCTCACAATAGCTGTATGGCTGAGATTCACACTCCCCACCACCTTCCTCTCACCACCAGTATAATGGTCCTCATATCGATTCCAATGAACGTTACGACAGTAAATGATCGCTGTATGGTATTTTCGTGAAACTCACAAAACGTTTTTAAACAAATGCATTAAGCTATGTATGTTTTAACGACACGTGACTTGATAAATAGAGAAAAGACATCATAAGGGGCGTCTAACGTCGTTCATGACTTTACTTCTCTGACAGAACATGTTTCATAGGCAAAGGTGACACAGCCCTAAGAAACTGAACACTGCTCTTATCAAGTTGTATTTTGTAACAGCGCGCGGACTGTGAAATAGCTGCAAATGCACGTTTAAAATATTTTTTACAAAAAACATTACAGTGTCTTTGACAACATGTTTAAAGGATTTTAACCCCAGAAATGAAGGATCTATTACTTACGCGGTTGTGTAATTTCAAACCTCAGATGAAAACAATCTTACCAGTAAAGTGTTTTGTAATACGCGGTAAAACAAGTACTATAAATGTAAGTGCACGGTTGAAGTATTAAAATGACGGAGTTTGCAGCCACGCGACTCTAACATGTTTGAAGTATTGCAGCCACGCAGGTAAAATATCTGCAACATATTGCAACCATAGTGTGAAGTATGAGTTACCATAAACGTACAGTATTTGTTTGATAAATTTGTAAACACAAATTAGATCTATTTGAGTAACACCTCAAATAAATATGTACAATCATCACACTATTGTTTTTGAAAGGAAAATAAGGCAAATGGGTATTATGCATGACTCTGCATTTATAAGTTATTCAAAGATTGATGTGGTATCGGTGCTAATTAGCAAAAACTGCATCAATAGCTTACAATGTTACTTCCACATTTGTATTGAGCAGCGAAGAATAATATTAACATTTAACAATGGTCTAGGAAGCTACAGACAACCTGATACCACAGGCACGAGTCACGGATATCAGTGTACCACCAATTCCAAACTGTGACATACATGCGTAATACTTATGGAGTAACAGCACAAGAATTCAAACATAAACTCACAGAGTGTACACGTTCCCGACATTGAACGAACATAGGAATATCGCCTCTGTGTGTGTGTGTGCGCGTGCGTGTGAACGAAGTCACACAGATGACAGTGAGTTTGTTTCAAGTTCCACAACTTCGTCAGCGCCATTGACACCACGGTTAAATCACATCCCACACGCCCATAGGATAGAAAACGAACAGAACAATTTCCTCATATATAGAGTGAACAAAAATCCTTACGTCTGGATTAAATGCTTAATTTGAGACAATGATGCAGCCCCTTACCTGTTACCCACTGAAGAAGAAGACAATCCTAGGTTGCATGATATCCGTGTCTAACAGCAATATGAGTCACTATGCTGTCAGATTGACATGCCCGGGTCTTGTCCCTATATTAAAGTGGAATGGCTTTATCCGAGCCTGTGACACGTTTCCCTATAGAGAAGAAGCATTTCTAGCACCTGACTACACTGGCAAAGAGTGACTGCAGTGAGCCGGTGTTCCCTCAGTCACCATCCGGCATCCAGTAAGGCGATCAATACGACAGCAGTGACACTGCAACGGGATTGGGGGAATGAAAATGACTCCCAAATAACTGCGTATTTTATTTCCTTGTTATGAAGGCGTGACGACGGCAAATCAGGCCAATCAGACTCCGAACAGCGCCAGATGCATGTAAGCAGTCAAGTCGGAATTCAGGCAACGAGAAACTCTTGCTAAAGGTCACCATCAACCACTTATTCCAAGAGCTGCTTCTCCTAAAACGAGGCTTACATTACCGTGTTGTTGTTTAGTGTTACGGATGTTTCTGCACGATTTCCTATTTAGTAGTTCTAACACTGGTGTCGTGTGAAGAAAAGGGACGTATTTACGTCACGAGTTACGTTAGGTCTTCTAGCCCTTTTGTACCGATCGATGGCTTCCTTTAATATTCATTGATGCTTTATTTCTTACATGAGATTTCAATATTATGTACAGCCTCTTTAAGGCTGATGAGGAAGTGTACAAGCTTTAAGAACATATAGATTGTTTGTTGTTTAACGCTGTATGCAGCGGTATTTCATCCCTATGACGGCGGTCTGTAAATAATCGAGTCTGGGCCAGACAAACCCGTGATTGACATCATGAGCATCGATCCATGCCATTGGGATACGGTGACTTACATCACACCAAGTCAACGAGTCTGACCACCCGATCCCGTCAGACAGCTCTTACGACAAGCATAGTCGCTTTTTATCCCAAGCTTTGGTTGCCGAAGACTTTTTCTACGGGTTTTTACGGGTCGAAACATATGTACCCGTATTTAAATAATGATAACTCCGACACAATAATCCGACATCGGCAATGTCGGACAGTCAATTTTATGCACAGGTGGGTATTTCCCGCATGTCGATTACCTGTTCGCTTTTCTCCCAAATCGCGTTTATCTGCCTTACCCGGCTACATCTATGGGGAACAATTCACTAGACACTCCCTTCTCCAAAATAATCTCGGCCAATATACGACGCCATCAAGTTGCGAGCGCATGTTCGAATCTCCAGAAATTTCGGCATGATATAACCATGTTATATGGTGAATTAAACCACAGTTCGTTTTTCATTGTTCTTTGCGATTTATCGCCTAGTTATCTTATATGAGGGAATGTTTGTTTGTTTGTTGTTTAACGCTGCACTCCGCAATATTCCATCAATATGACGGCTGTCTGTAAATAATCGAGTCTGGACCAGACAATCAAGTGATTCATATCATGAGCATCGATCTACGCAATTGGAATACGATGACATGCATCAACCAAGTCAGCGAGCCTGACCACCCGATCCCGTTAGTCGCCTCTAAAGCATAGTCGCTTTTCACGGCAAGCATGGGTTGCTGAAGACCTATTGTACCCCGGATGTTCACGGGTCATATAAAGGAATGAGTGAGTTGGATATTTCAACTATGGCGCGTCAGTTGTAATTACGCTTCTGATTATAACAACTTACCTATTTTGTCACCGAAATTCAACGACTTGTTTGCACTAACATATATTCTGTTGTTTCTTATTCATTAATGTTTTATCAATATAGGTAAAATATTAACATTTGAAAACTTAGATACTATTAATTATGCTTTATGATAAACTGTGACCACAGCGAATGACAATAGCAACCTTCAAATTTGGCCACAAATACCGTTAACAGTCTGCAACCAACTGGGGTCACAACGTCAAAATTATTATGGATACTGTCGAAAAGAGAAGATGAACCTGTTGAATGTCTGTGAGTGAGTTAAGTCGTGATGTGTCAATGGTAGAATCTACAAACTGAAAAAGAAGAAACAACATTGGAACATTCTGTCCCAGCCAGCTGTCGCCCATAGTCTGACTGTCCTATATGCCCCTCTGTCCCAGCCAGCTGTCGCCCATAGTCTGACTGTCCTATATGCCCATTCTGTCCCAGCCAGCTGTCGCCCATAGTCTGACTGTCCTATATGCCCATTCTGTCCCAGCCAGCTGTCGCCCAAAGTCTGACTGTCCTATATGCCCATTCTGTCCCAGCCAGCTGTCGCCCAAAGTCTGACTGTCCTATATGCCCATTCTGTCCCAGCCAGCTGTCGCCCAAAGTCTGACTGTCCTATATGCCCATTCTGTCCCAGCCAGCTGTCGCCCAAAGTCTGACTGTCCTATATGCCCCTCTGTCCCAGCCAGCTGTCGCCCAAAGTCTGACTGTCCTATATGCCCCTATGTCCCAGCCAGCTGTCGCCCATAGTCTGACTGTCCTATATGCCCCTCTGTCCCAGCCAAATGTCGCCCATAGTCTGACTGTCCTATATGCCCATTCTGTCCCAGCCAGCTGTCGCCCATAGTCTGACTGTCCTATATGCCCATTCTGTCCCAGCCAGCTGTCGCCCATAGTCTGACTGTCCTATATGCCCATTCTGTCCCAGCCAGCTGTCGCCCATAGTCTGACTGTCCTATATGCCCCTCTGTCCCAGCCAGCTGTCGCCCATAGTCTGACTGTCCTATATGCCCATTCTGTACCAGCCAGCTGTCACCCATAGTCTGACTGTCCTATATGCCCATTCTGTCCCAGCCAGCTGTCGCCCATAGTCTGACTGTCCTATATGCCCATTCTGTCCCAGCCAGCTGTCGCCCATAGTCTGACTGTCCTATATGCCCATTCTGTCCCAGCCAGCTGTCGCCCATAGTCTGACTGTCCTATATGCACATTCTGTCCCAGCCAGCTGTCGCCCAAAGTCTGACTGTCCTATATGCCCATTCTGTCCCAGCCAGCTGTCGCCCATAGTCTGACTGTCCTATATGCCCATTCTGTCCCAGCCAGCTGTCGCCCATAGTCTGACTGTCCTATATGCCCATTCTGTCCCAGCCAGCTGTCGCCCATAGTCTGACTGTCCTATATGCCCATTCTGTCCCAGCCAGCTGTCGCCCATAGTCTGACTGTCCTATATGCCCATTCTGTCCCAGCCAGCTGTCGCCCATAGTCTGACTGTCCTATATGCCCATTCTGTCCCAGCCAGCTGTCGCCCATAGTCTGACTGTCCTATATGCCCATTCTGTCCCAGCCAGCTGTCGCCCATAGTCTGACTGTCCTATATGCCCATTCTGTCCCAGCCAGCTGTCGCCCATAGTCTGACTGTCCTATATGCCCATTCTGTCCCAGCCAGCTGTCGCCCATAGTCTGACTGTCCTATATGCCCATTCTGTCCCAGCCAGCTGTCGCCCATAGTCTGACTGTCCTATATGCCCATTCTGTCCCAGCCAGCTGTCGCCCATAGTCTGACTGTCCTATATGAAACGCGTGTGGCTGTTCCCACTGACACGGCCTCACATAGCATAACCATTATGTGTAGGCATTACTGCATTAATTGTTTGATCAAGGACATGGTAGAAGTGACATATCATACAATGCCACATACAGTATGACAGTATGTCAACCGAAGAAGAAATCTGCCCAAACCACACATCAGAACTTATAAAAAAAACAACTCTAAACCCTGAATACGTGTCCATTCCATGTTTGTACTTGTTTCCCAAACTCCATAAAAACTTTTTCAAAGAGAGATACATTTCTTGGTCCAGTAAATGTACTACCAAATCACTGTCTAACCATATTCCTAAACACCATCACTTCACCCCACTAGAAACTTAAGGGAAAACATCAACAAAGATTCAGAGTTACAGAAGGAAGTAATCACACGCCTGTGTGAGAAAATGCATGACGTCAAGTTTCTAAATGTCAACCTCCCTTTTTGTCGGGCAGTATGCCAGCAGCTTTCACCCTTGATGTCTACTCTACACAATTTTAGTGGTAAAATCGAGCATGCTTCAAATATATCAAAGAGCGTCTCACGACTCCTACTTCAAAGTTGATTGGTGAGGGTTACAACATTGAAGACCTTGGTAAAGCTTTACAAACGTGTAATGATAGGCATCTGGGGGACATTTCTAAATTTGACGCGTCAATGACAAAAACAACAGGTGAACTGTTGCCTTGCCTTACCATGTGTTTGTGTCACGGTTCCGCCCGTGGGACAGGGACAGCTCACCGTATCGACAAACTTAGTACCATCACTTACTTATAGTGATTCATAAACTAAATGTAATATATAACTAGTCGGAATCGTACAAACGAATTTAGTAGATATTTCGTGTAATCATGGGCATGGTTTTGTTGCCTCTATTTGCCATGGTGTATGTTGTCCTGGCAACGATTTACCATGCACGTGCACGATGGCTGTGTTAGTACCTGACAATTTACCATGTATAGGAGTTACTGCGGCACGTGTCGGCCTGACGTTTATTTGTCAGGGGACTTGGGGGATAAAAAGGTACCTATATCGTCCGTAGTGGTACAAACCCCATTATATATGTGATAGTAATCACATTTAGCAATCATTTGAATTAAGAGGTGTTTCATTACATACAAAGACGTTTGGGATTGCAGTGGCCTTTTTCCTTACTTACGGTCCGAAGTGTCCGTGCACCCTGGTATTTCCACTTGGTGCCCAGAATGTAGCTGTAAGATGTGTTTGACACGAACCCCTCCGGACACTTAGAACACTTCCATTCATTGCCCCTCTTTTTCGATTAAAGTAGCGACGTATTCTATCGACAGCGAAAACGTTGAAAAAATGTTTTTTTTGTTTGAAAAACACGGCACAAAGATGAACGTGAGACCCGGTTGTGTCCTCGGGACTTGTGCCTGATCCTAAGTGACCAGGCAATTGCCTTATATAATTTCGTTACTCTGGAACATAAATTGGACAGGCTAAACCTTTTTTGTGACCCGATTAGTATTCAGTGTGGTAACTTGAAAAGCTACTAGTATGTGTATTGTCAGAATGTTACGATTAGTAAGTCTTCATCACCTGACTAGACATCGTCATCACCTGACTAGACACCGTCATTACCAGACTAGACATCGTCATCACCTGACTAGACATCGTCATCACCAGAGTAGACATCACTGGCGGAGAATATGCCCGCAAACGTGGAGAGTGGAAATTCGATTTGGTCACTGATTGAGTTACAATGTAAGGCTACAGATTGGGGCATCATGA